AGTGATAAGATTACTCGTATGATGCTCATTGTTGGTTAATGTCACTATGGTCAATTTGTGTCCACCCTGGAGTTGAGCTAAGTGGATGCCACGTCAGTGAATGTCTCCATGTTTAAGGTTTGTCGTGACTAGAAATAAATGGTTATCTGAGTACAGTTGTAGCAGGCGATCTCCGTTATCTGTTTGTTTGGCGAAAATCCCGAAAATGCCACCTAAGTGCCTTTCTACCTGACTTAGCTTACCCCAACGTGCATTGAAATTATCTGCTACGACAACCACACCTGGAAGCTTGGGTTTCAGTAGGAGGTTAGACAGTTTTCGGTAGAATTCGTCCTTCACTTCATCCAAATTGCAGTGAGTGAAAAAGCAAGATTATAAAGAGACGACGGCGAGTTTCATGATTCCTTTTTGTCCTCTTTGTGCCGTTCAGTCGAACAGCTTATAGGCAATTGTCAAACGGGATCCAGTAGAGTTGATAACTTTCTGCTTTAGTACTCAATGCTATATCTACACCTGCGAAACAGCAAGAACTGGCCATCATCATTGTTATCAAGATCAAGATGGAACTAGGCATCACTGCGTAACCGTCCAAGTTGCCAAGCCTCATATCAGCATATCAACTGACAAGGCAATAAAATGGAAAGTGAAGGAAGGAAAAATCAGTCAAAAGGAGTAGGAAGAAATAGAGGGAAGAGAGAAGAATGAGAACTGGCCATCGAATCTTCAGAAACTCGAGGGTGGATTTAGCAGATTCACCATATTGGCCATGTGAAGTTGAGTGATTAATCCCGCTTTGGTCTTGTATGCGTGCCTTAAAAACATAGCACACACGCGTGGCACGAGTTGTTGGGGTTTGGGATAGAGAAGCTTGTTGGACGACTTGATGGAGAGTCTAGAAACTGAAAGCTCCTGTGTTATTTGAAGCGCGGTTTTGCGAGACCAAGGGTGCTGTTCTGTGAACTCAGATCGCTATCAAGAGCTGTGGGGAATGGAAAATTAAATAAGATGTAGGAGAGTTGACAAGACATGGAGGAAGATTAGAAGGTAAGGATAAGGGAGGTGGAAAGTGATTTAAGGGAGCTTCGGCGATGACACAGTTGTAAGGATGCTTGGTACTTTCCTACTCCCCACAGTGTAGAAAGCTAGGTCTTTCTGAGGTACTTGAAAAAGAAGGGTTAGTGTGTGACCACAGAGCCCAAGGGACATCTGCCTGCGGTCCATCACACACAGTATTTTCGCCAGCTTGAGACTTCTGAATTCAAATCTGACTATGAACATATGCCACAAGTATCGGCATGCCGCCAGGTGTTAAGCGTGTAACATTTTTGTGGTCGACCTTTTCTAAACCCACTCTTCCCACATGAAAAGCAAGATCAGCCAGGGATTGCTGGTCATCCAAGGGAAATACTTTACTGCTACCACACTCCCATTCAGTGAGCAGTACGACTTTTCACCCAGAACCCCATTATAGCCTAGCAATTTAGACTATAACAGTAACTGTTTTTTTTGTATAACCACAAAATACAAAAGAATGTAGCAACACTAAGAAGACGTAAGTTATACAGAATGGAAACAAAAAGAGAAAACTAGTCTCGAAAACATGAAGAACACGATGAACAAAAAATCCGCTGCACAATCAACACTGATTTCCATTCTGAGCCATGTCTGCTTTTGTCTCAAATAAGTGCGTTGCGTAATCACTCAGATCTCATCCAGAGAGGTGCAAACCACCCACAGATGATAATCCTACACAACTATCTCCCACAAAAAGGTGCCACATAATTCGTTAATCACCTCTCCGCTTATTCAAACAAGACCAATGATCAGAAAACATGGAGTCGTGCGAGACATCCTCAGACGATATTAGCAACCCATTTCAAATGCATCACAGCCGCTGTTTCAAAATGACCTCACTCAATGAATGACGATCTTTATCACATCGCCTTAACTCAGGATTAACCTTCACAATATATCCATCTCCATGATCCTCAATTATGGTTTGGAACAAAGGGGATGGAGTGGCTGTATTTCCTCACTTTACGTGGCGTGCTAACAATATGGGGCTATCAATATCTTTACAAGCCTCTCAGAGACAATGCTGTCTAACAGACAATGTCAAAGCATAGATCTACCTAGCGAATCGATGCAGCCCTAGTATAGAAAAGTAGAACGATTGTGATCCGCAATATGTCACAGCGATCGAGTATCTGGTGGACGATGAACACATGGTCAGTGTATGAGAAACCTAAATACAACCCAGTCTTAACCTTGCGATTCGGCTTTCCACATTTTTTGCCTTCTAAAACGACATAGTCATTATCCTGACTACAGCCACACTCACCTCCATACTAAAAACAATCGGGAGTAAGTTTTCTGAACTGTTGCATGTGGAGCTTTAGAACTTGGAGTTCTTAACTGAATCCTTTCACTAAATGGATCGGTTTTAAATAACCACTGGGCACATGTCACTGCAGTTGATACTGTTGGAGAAGTAAGACAACTGAAATGCTTTTTGGAGTGCTCTGTGCAGGGCTCCAGACGTCTACAAAATTTGATGACCGGTGGGTGTGCTACCTGCTTTATAAACCATATCATCAGCACCAGGCTTCCTGCTTCCAGTAGCTTAGATAAGATGGAACAGCTTCAAACTACCGCCAGATAAGGAAAGTGCTTCAATTTCACTCACGCGTTCTGAACACCAGACTTTACGGTAAGCAGCAATGGCTGTGATGGGAGTTGCTGATGCTAAGCAGTAAGTTGTGATCTGAGTAAAGCTGCCGGAAAAGAACATGTGTGACTAGCTAAATGACAGCCCTTTGAGTTTATTCACCCAATGTGTGTCTGCAGTCATCACTAAGATACCTGTCAAGCACATATAGTGGGGAAGGTTACTCAGCTGATGAGAGAACTAACGCTTAACTGTAAACAGGATGCAGTCAGTCAGAATATAAACAGAGATTGCAACGACACATATTTTTCACTACTCCTTAATTCTTATTCCAATCAAAACTCCTAGTCTAACTGCACACAGATAACTGTTGATGAAAATCCAACCAACCAGTAAAGTTTCAGCCCATGCACTTAGTACGAGATAACAGCAGCAGTAAGGCTATACAGTCAGCGGATAAGTGTATAGCACATAAATGTTTTAAGGCGATAGATATGGAATTTATTAGGTTCTCTGATACCTACAGCATATATCAGTAGCAAAGCCTTCCAGAGTCCTAGCCAAATATGTTTGTTGTCCGATCTGCATCAAGATCCGAGCGTTGAAAGCAGCCAATTCAACGGTGAGCATGGTTTCAGAATATTTGCATCGAATATTGCACTATGGGATAGGTTTGCAGAAGTAACCGTTTAGCGATTGAAGACGGTGCAGACAGATCCGGATTTCAATCAATGACAGTCAGCTGAGCGAAACAAAAACGTAAATAAAGATAATTTTAAGAACGAAAGCGAAAAACACAACATACTTCTTAGGTAAAAGTAACAGATGCTAAGCGATACAAGAGTTTGACTTTTCTACGATAGGTGTGAAGTCTTGTAGGAAGGTCCGAACAACCCATAAGGGTCTCCTATTTTTCTGCATTTTTTGGTTTTTATGAGCTACAGCTTTGCTTAAGCGTTCATACTGTAGCGGCTGGTCGTCAAAAAGACCGATCACCCTTGCTTTCAGCTTGAAGTTTAACCCAGTAGGGTAACGTTAGGCGTCGCATTCTCACGGTTGCCAATGACCAAACTAAGATTTTCCAAATCCCGTAGGTAGACTCTCGATATCCACCAATCATTTTTTGGAAACACTTCATGTCATGCCAAGGCACTGGGTTGAACTGCCCAGGCATAATCTAAGAACTTGTGATCGTGTGAGAGTATTTCAATAGGATAACCCGGATCATGCCAGCCCCGACCACAGCAGGACATCTGATGAGTTTAGTAGTCAGTCTAAACACTTCATTAGAAGATCAAGTTATCTCCCACAAGATAACTATGAGTCAGCTTATCACAGGAACTTGTAAGAAGGTTAATAGTTGCATATTCGCTTTCATATGATGACATTTATCTCGTCACAAGATTTACGAATAAATAAATCTGAAAAAGTTTCCCCACTAGCTCATATTCGATCGACAACTAATTGGGATTGGATAACAATCATATAATGCTGAAGTTACAAACATCAGTGATCCAATTTTCAACTAGCAACCCGGGTTAGCTATGAGCCTTGAAGGTTTCGACTTCATCGGGATACACTGCTCTTTAGTGGTTGTGGGTTTTTTAGGCAAAAACACTTTACAGTAAATAAATTCAAAGAAAAACGGGCGTGAAAGTGAACAAGTCATAAACAACATATTTTAGCTTGCCTACTGCTGATCAAATGTGACGAATAAAGTAAATAAAACAGGTTAACTCTGTCAATGGTAGGTGTACGTTTATGACCTAATGAAATCAATCGTCTTTCACGATACTTACCTAAGAAGAATCTTAACAGAACCTGAGGACTGTAGTTGACAAATGACTATCTAGGCTATCGAACAGTAACGCAGCATCTTAGTCATATGATAAAATGCTAACAAAACGTTTTGTTTATCAGTTTGATTTATTTGTATAAACGTGTACATTGTGAAAAAAAGGGAACTTTTCAATATTAAAGGCAATGAGGTTTGTGATAGCAACCAAAAGGAATAGAGACATCATATGCGTGATTTACGCATAGTATTATTGGTTAATGTATTTTTTTGCAGAAAGACTTGTAAGCAATTTAGAATAAAAAGCAATTGACAGCAGTAGAAAAACTTCAAAATATCGTGTAAAACGAGGGTGGTCCACACTTATGTGTGCATATACATTCAACTCTCACAAGTGCAAAATAAAAGAGAAATAAAAAAATAGAAAATACTTAAAGATTCCTCTTCCTCAAAGTTTGAGGATAAATGTAAGGCTGAAAGACAGTACACATTATGGAGATTTTAAAACATTTTCTGGAAGTTGAGTTTATATTACGATCACTTCTTGGATATCGTTTGTTTATGATGTGAAACAGTTAATAGAGATGATTTTCCGGTAGATGGTACAGTGGTTGCTGAGGTTTTCAGACTTCGGTTTTTCTGTGAGACTGTTGAAGATAACGGTTTCGCAAAAGATGTTGTTGGATTAGAAGATAGTTGACTTGTTTTTATGCTGTTTGATGAAACGCTGTTAACACCACTCTGAGTACTTTTGATAAGTGACTGAGTCTTAGTTACTGAACGTACAGAGTTGGAATCGAGTTTCTGTTCATTTACCCCGCTTTTACGAGGACCCACACGACTGCTTATGCTCATAGAAGGCATCTTCTGGGATGGCATTGGAACGTTATTTATCTTACTACTGGTTGTAGGGAGTGGAATTCTTGTAAAAGGTTTTGTACCTGATGCCGTGGATTGTGATGTTGGATTGCCTTCAGTCGGTCTTGTAAGAGCATGAGTTGCCTGAGACCTCAATGGAAATCGAAGATTGAGAACAGAATTCGGAGGCGATGTATTGTATGCTGCATCTACTTCAGGTTTCGACACATTATCGACATCTGTAGCGTTTCTTTCCTTGAATTCATTCCTGAAGGTGAGCTTGATTTGTTTTCAACCACCGCATCACTGTCTTTTGAATCATAAGTCCCAGTTATGCCAGAATTGAAATTCATTCCAGAACCACTGTCCAATGAACTTAATAGTGGATTGTAACAGTTTTCATTTGCAGTGATAGTATGCTGACGCTCGGGTTTGCCATTCGTATCTACGATTGAAACTTCTTCACGACTATGTGCAGCACTAAGATTACAAGAGCTCAAATCACTACCGGATTTCTGCCCATTACTATCAGCACTATCTTCCTCTCCTTTATGATTCTTACTACCACCAGTACTCGATCCATTAAGGGATGAGTTGGAAAAGCCCAACTTACTTCGACTCCCACTGTGTTCACGTAAGTGAGTTTCTTGTAAACGCGCTAATTCAAATACATCTGAACTTCTCATACTTGAGAAAGACGCCGTACCCTTTTCGGAAAGTTTGAGACTTTTCATGACTAATTCAGTGGCAGAAAGGGACTGAGACAGTGGATTAACACCCGATGGAATGTCTAAACTTTTCGTCACATCTATATCACCTTCATTATCTGATATAGGTAATGAAGCAGTTAGTGCGTGACATCTGGAAAGCATAGGAGCCACCTTAGGCATGAGATCGTTGGCATCGTAGTAATTAGCTTCTTTTAACACATCCATTTGCTCTTTTGAATATGTGCGTGAGAGCACCGAACGTTTCTGAGAACAAACCTTTTGGTCCGGCGTACCAGTACCGCTTGGGACAAATAATTGGTTACTCAACGTAGATACTTTGCGCCTACCAAAGACAGGTGAAACATTAGCCGCGAAGGTTGAATGAGGAAGGGGTGGTTGGAGAGATCGATGAATTTCAGGTGGTTGTGGATGCGAAGCTTGAGAAGAAAGTGGTTCAGGTTCATTAGAAAATTGTGTGTTATTAGATTTATAAGCTCCAACAACAAATGCTTCACCTAGAGGCATTTTCTGTTTGTTGTTTGATTTACGCAAAATGTATGTCCCATTAGCATCAGAGTAAGATTTTTAAATGAACCACTTAAACTGCGATGACCACCAGCTTGAGGATCAGTATTCTGAATATTGTGACTCGTGTCAGATGGTGCTACACCGTCAAAATCTATTGAAGCATTCAAAGACAGTGTTGAATGGCATATTTGACGAGTTGCATCTCTTAGTTTTGAGTGGTTGTGTGATTTCTTTTCAATGATTCCGCTTCAATTGATCCTTTACTTTTGGCTAAGTCATTTAACTGATTCAAGAGATGATAGGAATCATTACAAAATCGTGGATCCCGGTCAAAGGGAGTGCGACACCAAGTCTTGCAACTTACTTCAACATCTAAAATAGCACCTTCATCTCTTTTTCCTTCTGAGTTCACTTCGATAGGATCACGAGAAGGATCTACCCACCAATCACCTCCACCACTCAGTCCCAATTCAACTTCCACGTTATCCAAGGCTTCTTTAGTTAGGACAGTGGGCAAATGAGCTTCAAAATAATCATCAGATTCTTGTTGCTGGTCGTCAACTACAACTAATGTAGGTGGTGCGTTTGTAGGAGGTAAGACATTCTGAGTTTCCTCACGGAATCCAAAAATCTGTTCCATGTAAATCCTAAAATATAAAGGTGAATCAAACTAAACATACGATATTATAACCCACCCATGCATTAACAGTGCACGGTGCTTACAATATGCGATGAGTAAAAAACAGTAATATGAATCGACTAGATTCATGACTGTGGAATCGGGTTTGAAATCATGGGAAGAATGAATATAACTCAGTGATTGTGTTAAGGCATGTAATATAGTCTGCCAGCCGGAAACATCGAGCGAAGATTGGTAATACTGTACGACTACCAAGAAGTAGATAGATAATATAAGTCAGAACGCGTAACTCACTGGACGGAAGCCCAGCACCTATTATGCAGGATCTATAAGAAAGTAAAATACCAGCACCATGATACAGTGTTTTAATTTTCATTCATTTGTGATACGTATCATGTGCGAAAACGAACGAATGAAATGCACTCACCCACGTTGTGCACATCCTTCCAGTAGGCGGTAAGCCAGACCTATGGTGTGAAAGCTAGTGATACTACATATCTGCTCAAATCTCGGTAGGTGCAGTGGGGCTCGAACTCGTGGTACAGTAGTTGATAGACATGTACATAAACCACTGAGCCACAGCTCTACACACAATACGTACCATATAATGAAACAATACTCAATTAATGACGTTTCGAGCACAATGTATTCCTCATACCATGGTAAACTAATTCAGAAAGCTATGTGATATAATACATAACCTCGCCTGGTTAACTAGTTTACTAGTTACTAGCCGGTCCTAAGCCCGGGTAAAGAGGGAAGGTTGGGCATAGGGCTAGCAACCCTACCCCGTAAAACAAATCTAACCGCTAAAGAAACTTCAAAGCACAAACAAAATATAAAAAATGAAAACAAACTTATTCCCCGCTGGAATCGGAGAGGCGAAATGACGCCAGTTGGTGAAAGCCTTCGGGAAGCCAATTGGCCGATGTGTCTTCTCTCGATGAAAGCGAAAGTAAACGTGGGGACATGGAATGTCCGTACGATGTTTGAACCCAGTAAGGCAGCCCAGATTGCAAAGGAGATGAGAAGGTATAACATCGAAGTGCTTGGAATTTGCGAAAGCAGATGGAATGGGAGTGGACTCTCCAAACTGTCAACTGGAGAATCAATAATCTACTCCGGTCACCCAGACGCCAACCACGAGCACACTGAGGGAGTGGCTATCATGATGTCCTCAAGAGCATCGAAGGCTCTCATGCAGTGGGAACCAATCTCCTCCAGGATCATGACAGCAAGATTCAACTCAAAAGGAAGAAAGGTCACAATCATACAATGTTATGCACCTACAAATAATGCAGAGCAAGAGAAAAAGGAGGAATTCTACAGACAACTTCAATCAACACTGGACAAGACGTCAGTTGGCGATATCAAAATTCTAATGGGCGACATGAATGCCAAACTGGGAGGGACAACACAGGAAGAGAACTAACCATGGGTCGAGAGGCGCTAGGTGAAATGAATGAGAATGGAGAATTGTTTGCAGAATTCTGTGCATTCAACGATTTGGTGATTGGAGGCAGTGTGTTCAGGCACAAGGATATCCACAAAGCGACATGGACTTCACCAGATGGACACACTAAAAATCAAATCGACTTTATCTCAATCTCAAGAAAATGGAGACGCAGTCTACTTAACACAAGGTCAAGAAGAGGAGCAGATGTAGGTTCAGACCACTATCTAGTGCAAGGAACCTTCCAAATCAAGTTAAAAGCCTTCAAGGAAGCTGGTGATAGACCTCAATTCAAGTACAACACTCGGAAACTGAAGGATGAAACTACAAAGGAGATCTTCAAGGCAGCCATCAAGACAAAATGGGAGACATCGAGGGACATCCCTGAAGAAACCTGTGTGGAAGAACATTGGAAGTCTTTGAAAGCTATGTGGAAAGAAACCTGCACAACAGTATTAGGAAGGAAGAAGAAAGAAGACAAGGAATGGATCTCGACGGATACCTGGAAGCTGATAGAGGAGAGGAGGATGGTGAAGCAGAAGATAAACCAGTGCAAGGATGCTCAACGACAAGAGGAACTGAGCACAATGTATAAAACACTGGACAAAGAAGTGAAGAAGAGTGCACGCAAAGACAAAAGACACTTCTACGAAACACTGGCAAGTGAAGCAGAACAGGCTGCAGGTAAGAGAGACCTGACGACATTGTATCAAATAACCAGGTTGCTATCAGGGAAGAGACCAACACAGATGAAACCAATAAAAGATGAAGAAGGAAATTTAATTACAAAAGAAGAGAAACAGAGGAAACGATGGGCCGACCACTTCAAGAAGCTCTTGAATCGACCACCACCTGCACTTCGTCCAGAAATACCACCTGCAGCCGCTGAATTACAAGTGAACATAAATCCCCCAACGAAAATGGAAGTCCTGAACGCCATAAAGCTACTGAAATGCGGGAAAGCAGCAGGACCAGATGGAATACCGCCAGAAGCACTGAGAACAGATGCAGAGACAACAGCGGACATGCTCACACCACTATTGCAGAAGGTGTGGAAGGAAGAGAAGGTACCGGACGATTGGAAGAAGGGTTACCTTGTCAAACTGCCGAAGAAGGGAGACCTCAGTGCTTGCAAGAACTGGCGCGGAATCACTCTCCTGTCCACCCCAAGTAAAATATTAAGCCGCATCATCCTGGAGAGGCTTAAAGACGCACTGGATTCAAAACTGCGACCGGAACAGGCAGGCTTCAGGAAGTACAAATCATGTGCTGACCAAATTGCAACACTTCGTATCATCATAGAACAGAGCGTAGAATGGCAATCAGCTCTCTACCTCAACTTCATCGACTTTGAGAAGGCCTTTGACAGCGTCGACCGAGAAGTAATTTGGAAACTGCTTCAATACTACGGAGTACCGCAAACCTTTATCCGCCTCATTCAACAACTATATGAAGATGCCACATGCCAAGTAATCCACAATGGGAAGCTCAGTGATGCCTTTGAAGTGAAGACAGGAGTGAAACAAGGTTGCCTACTATCCCCCATGATATTCCTTATTGTGGTGGACTGGATCATGCAGCAAACAGTAGGCAGCGAGAAGAGGGGGATACACTGGACGACGGAAAAGAACCTAGAAGACTTGGATTTCGCCGATGACTTATGCCTAATGTCACATAAACTTGAAGATCTGCAGGCAAAAACTAACAAGTTGACAGAAGAGGCAGCCAAGACGGGACTTCAGGTGAATATAGAGAAGACAGAAGTGATGAAGATACCGCACCACCACCATCAACAACAACAACAACAAACTCCAATCACCGTCAACGGGAGAAACTTGAAGGAAGTAACCTCCTTCACTTATCTAGGAAGCATTGTTTCAACTACAGGCGGGACGGACGAGGACGTCAAAGTCAGAATCGGAAAAGCAAGACAGGCGTTCATTAGCCTGAAACCAGTGTGGAGATCTTCTGCACTCAGCATCTGGAACAAGATACGGATTTTCAACACCAACGTCAAGTCAGTGCTCTTGTATGGCTCAGAGACTTGGCGCGTCACGAAAGGGATTTCCAATAAACTACAGACATTCATCAACAACTGCTTACGCTCGCTGCTGAAGATCAGATGGCCAGAAAAAATAAGCAACAAGGAACTCTGGGAACGAACCAACCAAGAAGCTATCACGCAACAAATATGCAGGAGGAAGTGGAGATGGATTGGCCATGCACTGAGAAGGCCGACTGAGGACATCACGCGTCAGGCCCTCGAGTGGAATCCCCATGGGAAGCGACGAGTTGGACGTCCGAGGGTGACATGGAGGAGGTCATGCGAGGAGGAAATGAGAGCTTCTGGGCTGTCGTGGAACCAGGTTCAAAAGATCTCAGAGAACAGAGGTCACTGGAGGCGTGCTACTGAAGCCCTATGTTCCACTAGGAACCCAAGGGACTAATAATAATAATATAATAATAATGTGATATAATACATATGATGATGAGAAATAAACTGCTCAATCCAGTGAATAAGACTGTTCCATCATTTACCGCTTTCAATAAGAGCGCTAACATACAGCTGCATAGTCTAGACTACCGAAAGAACCGATTTCACGTAAAGATTTTGTCCTGAAAGGAAGTCAGCTTTACCTCATTCTTTGATCCAAGTGATTCCAGTTCCTTATTGCTGCCTTTTCTACTATAATCCTTATCTCGGTATTAGTGTTCCCTTACTGTTATGTAAAACAACTAGGATTGGTATTATTTTACGCCTCATTTTGTCTTATTTATCCTTTCACTTTGATCTTTTTCACTCAGCAAATCTGACAGATTACGTGGAGTAGTGGTGGCACATATTTTTCTAACTTTACTACATACCTTATAGGTAAGTGTTTTGACCGCTACAGCTGTATGATATGACATGTAGAACTAATAATGTACCTCATACAGTTCATTTCCACAACATTTTGCTAATTCGACTCTACGTAATCAAGAAATACTTGATTTTTGGTGGAATTTCCAGATGATCCGAAGTTAACAGTGCAAGCAAGGCACACAAGAGATGAAACCTGATACACTGTGGCGCTTAGAGATTTCCTTCTGAGGAATAACATATTATAAATACTGTCAAATAACCTCGCCTGGTTAACTAGTTCACTAGTTACTAGCCGGTCCTAAGCCCGGGTAAACAGGGAACGTTGGGCATAGGGCTAGCAACCCCACCCTACCCCGAAAAACAAATCTAACCGCTTAACAAACTTCAAAGCACAAACAAAATATAAAAAATAATAACAAAATTATTCCTCGCTCGAATCGGAGAGGCAAGGTGACGCCAGTTGGTGATAGCCTTCGGGAAGCCAATTGGCCGATGTGTCTTCTCTCGATGAAAGCGAAAGTAAACGTGGGGACATAAAATGTCCGCACCATGTTTGAACCCAGTAAGGCAGCCAAGATTGCAAACGAGATGAAGAGGTATCATATTGAAGTGCTTGGAATATGCGAAAGCAGATGGAATGGGAGTGGACTATCCAAACTGTCAAATGGAGAATCAATAATCAACTCCGATA